AAATTATTTGGTATTGCTTTGAGCCTGCAATATATTTAGTGCAAATAAGGTAAGTTGTAGTGCTGCTATTATGAGACTTTATTCCTAGAAGGCATTATAGGGAAAAATAGAAGGGTCATATGTAAAATATAATTAGGAACACCTACAAAGTGAGTGGGAGGGGAAGCTAATCTTTTTAACAGAGCATTAGCTTTGACGTCACATAGTATGCCCTTTCTCTCCTGTAGAATCTTATTGTTATCACTGTCAGAGACTCAATATAAACTGTGTAAGTATCCAGCTTAGCAAATTTTCTAGTCCTGAAAGTTCAAAGGATTATATGAGAGGACTGACATTTCTATACCTTCCCTACAACTAAATCAATTGGGCCTACCACAAAGTTTTAAAAATTATTTTAAAAGATATATTTTAATGGACACTAGATTGGGAAGCAGAATTTCACTGCTAATATTTTCTAACTGTGAAAGTACTTTAGAACATGTTCATCGATTCAAATAAACCTCAATTCAATCTTCAGTCTTGTTACTAAGTTACTTTGAGCAAGTTTTATTCCCAACCCTGTACTATTCTACCTTTAACAGTGGTGATAGTAGTACCTATGTCTGGGATTTTTATGAGAATTAAGTGAGCTCATTCTTAGCATTGTGGCTAGAACACAGTACTGAGGACTTAAGATAGAGCCATACTTTTCATGATTAGGAACAATAGCATTAAATTAGACCTAAGCAAGCCTTGTGTAAATTCAGATTTTCTATGTTCTTCTGCTCTCCAAAGATAATCATGCTTGAAAGGCTTGGAGAGCAGTGCTGGTTTGGGAAGTCAGTGATATTTTCATAGTATAAAACAATATATTCAAATGTTTTTGGGCCAGGGATTTAGCTCAGTGGTTCTGGCACCTGCTGCGCAAGCGCAAGGTCCTGAGTTTGATCCCCGGTACCAAAAGCAAAGAAACAAACAAAAAAAATCAAATGTTTTTGGATTTCTAGCAAAGGAGTGTTGGAATGTACAGCGACCCAGACTTCTGCCCACCACTGAACTTAAATCTATTCTGGTGTGTTTTTCCTTACATGGGATATATAACACTGTTCAGTGATATAAAACTATGTCACTTATAACTGATTTTAGGAGGTACCATTTTTAAATGTCTTGAAGGAAAATTTACATTATATTGATTTTCAATTAGTAATATGAATTTATATAACTATAATCTTTCATGTGTTTTAATACCTGAATAAAAACTTTTCAATCCATGTTGTATTTACTGTAAAGTAACCAAAACTTCTAGATTTCAGAGCACACTTCTTCTCCAGTATTCTTTTTCATGGTACCTTCATTTGAAACGCATCTCTATCCTGCATTCTCCTTCCCTTAAAGTGTTATATATAATGTATTGTATGTATCTAGCCATTTTATCTTTCATATATTATTTTGTCAGCAGCTTATGTATATATTATTTCTACTTGAAAAACAGAATCACTATATGTGATTTCAACAGAGAACACACAAGAGTCAATGGCAAATATATTAAGGTTACGGCAAACCATGGACAGATTTGAGAGGGAAATAACTAAACCATTCCCTCTCATTGAACTGTAGTCCTGTTTTGTTGACTTACTAAATTTTACTCATCCTTAAAAACAAGTCAAATGTTAATTCTTTGTTGAAGTCTTCCTAGATTTTCTTACATAAGGGTATCTTACTTCCTCTGTATTGCCTCCAGGTTTTCTGTCATTCTTCTATGATTATATGTACAATTTAAACAGTGCTCTCCCTCATAATTCTGTGTTCTTTGAAGAGCTGAGGATCATGTGGCTGGAGTGTCTATAGGGGCTGCCCCTATAGGTGCTCAACTGTCTGTTCATTTGGGTTCAAACAGTGAAAGGTACAACCAAAGCAAAACATTTTAAGTTTAAGGCATAAAATGTCCCTTTTTACTTTTAATACTATGTGTGAAGGTAGTAGTTTTACTTGTTGGGCATATAAAATTGTCCAGAAAGAATTAGTAAGAGACTATTTTATTCTGACAAAAATACCATTTAATTCTTGAAAGAACTAAACCTCCTACCTATTTATTATACCCTAAATAAAAGTCTTTTCCCGAGATCTAAAAAGCCTGGCTAATATTAATCTTCCTTTCTCTTCTCCTTAACAACTATTAGTTTATGATGTACTTGACACTTGATTAAATAAATTACGATTATATACATATTTTTCTAAATGTAAATTTCTTCTAGTCTACGGACAGAACCCATGAAATAATTTTTGTCAGATGTTATACTGACAAATTCTCTACTGTCATCAAGCTGGATGTTTAACAAATAGTTATTAACTGAATAAAATGAATCTAAGAACTATTTTTAAGAAATACTAAGATACTCGTTATAATAAAAGGCAAAACACTAGAAGAACTTTATCACATTAGAAGATTGTATGAAAAAAATGGATCCTAAATTCAAGAGAGATAGCAGCTAAGCATCTGGAAACAGCACATTTTTCTACTATGGTATGCTCCCTCACTAGTATATAAATTTCTCAATAAATTCATCAGTAAATCTAGCAGCCCCTAATCAAAACTTACCAAGCTGACTGACTCTACCATTATCAGACTTACAGATAAGTAACACTAAATTAACATTTATTGATCATTTACCAGATGTCAGGAGGTATGTCCTGTGCAATTCATGTTTCATTCCTATAATTTCACAATAACTTTGTGGCATAGATATTATTATTATATCCATTTTACAGGTAAAGACAGTACAGTTGGGTAACTGTTCAGTAACATGCCAAAGCTCACACAACAAACAAATGGTGTGGTTGATGTTCAGTTCTAGGTAGTCTTGTTCCAAACTTAGTGGTTAATGATTACTAGGTTAATCCAGTATCTCTGATATGGGTGCTAATATTTCACACTAAAACAGCATGGGCTCAAGAGACTGAAGAACTACAAGCATTTAAAAAACCAAGCAATTGAATAAATTGATGCATACAGAAATAATGCATATAGAAACGATGAAGGAATTTTTAAATACCATACTCTACTTTGGCTGTAACTACTTTAAACAGATAAGATGTCCAACTTACTCTACAAATTAAAGATGACAGGAAAAACCTTGTGATAATCTGAATAGGAACTCAAAGGATGGATTAAATGTGAAAAATCTGCAACCTTTCTTAAAGAGGAGTAGCAAGTGCTATCATTCACTTTTCCAACTATTTTGCTAATGATGTTAAGTACTAGGTGTTCGATCTTTAAAGAGATGTCACTGATTTTTTTTTTTTTTCAATACAGAGCTGTAAAAAATTCGATATTATTACAGGAGTAAAGACTAGGAGGAAAATAGCCAGACCATAAATACAACAAACACAGACAAATCCACACATAATATACAGTCATGCCTTCTATATCCACAAGTGTGACAAAAATTTCACGTGACATTCAGTTCACATCATTTTATTAAGCATATGGATGTGAAATAAATTTTAGGATTTTTATGAAATAAAAACTAAAGATATTGCTTTAATTCCTAGTGACCAAGTTTTTACCATGAATGTGCATATTTATTATCAAAATAATAGCTTGCAACTGAAGCCTGACTCTTAAGAAAAACAGAGCTTTTAAAGAAATAGGGTTTAAGTTCTTTTTTGTCCATCATCATCTATGTTAGGTTTAATGTTTTTACTTTAGGTTTTCCTAGAGCAATATACGGTATGTAATCTCCCCTGATCAGGTACAAAGATTTCTAGCCTATACAGAAGGAAAAGTGCATTATCTTTTTTGAAACTGGCATTTAAAATCTTCTCATCACATTTGTGAACAGCCTGAAGTATATGGGCTTCTGTCTCTGCACTTATTACAGACATATTAATAAGATAACAGCAGTGTACATGTTTTTTCATTTAGTGTAAATCTTTTTTTCTTTTAAAAAAATTTTTAAATTTTTTTCTCTTTAAGGGCAGTCCCCAACTGTTTCTGAATCTGTCTGGAGCAAAAAAGAACAGCCTGACTTCGCATTTTAAAAAATTTCTTATTACTTATGCAATATTTGAGGAAAGAGGCAGCAGTTTAGCTGCTGAAATTTATGCCAAGCTTGATTTTTCTTTTCTGAAAGTTGTAACATAAACAATTTCGTTCGCATCGCACGTGTATATCTACGTGTGATGTCACATTATCCATCCAGAGGACGCTCTGAGGAAAGCCAAAGGCCGCTGTGAGACTTACCTGGCTCTCAGGAGGCGCCTATCTACCATCACCATCAGCCCTTAAAAGCACTAGGCCTCCTGGGGCTGGGCGCCCCCTGAAGGCTGCTCCCTCAGGCCTCGCGCAAAGTGATTTCCTGCTCTGCACGCCAACTTGGCAAGGGCAGGCTACTGCAAACAGATTAGTCAGAATAAAGTCACCACAGACTCAACCAAGCAAGGCATAAATGGCCCTTTCAACAGGAGCCCGAGAGAGGCCGGACTTGCCCGAGCCCCACAACCCATTTGACTTTTCCAGTATCCCCAAACTCGCGTTTTCTAACGCTTTCCGCTTCAAATACGGGGCTGGCGCGGGGCCGGTGTCCGGTCCTCTCCCCTTCACGCATGTCGCCCGCCGAGAGCAACTTGTGCATGGGCTCGGGAGGAGGGCGGCACGACAGCTAGGGAGCCCGCCAGGTGATAGGCACTAGCAGCACGCAGGACGCGAGGGGAAAGGCAGGCGAAGTCCCGGCGGGGGTGGCGGGGCCCGAGGGGGACAGGAGGCGAGGCCCCGTGCGTCCCGGGGCTGGCACGGGAGCGGTTCCGGCCGCGAGTGCGTTCCGCCGCCGCCCCGCACGGGCTCCCAGCCCGGCCTCGCCGCCACCGCCACTGCCACCGCGTGGCCCGAGGGCGCGTCCGCCTCGCGCTGCCGTCCCAGACCGAGCGCCCGAAGCCCGGGGCGAGTTCAACTCGGGGCCGGGCGGGGCGGGGCGGGGCGGGGCGCGGCTGGGGTGGGCGCTTGGCCGCGGGCGGGGGGCGCTGCAAGAGGAGCTGGCGCTCTGCGGCCGCGAGGGAAGGCGCGGTGCAACCTTGCCGCCCGCTGTGCGCCTGCGCGACAACCAACAACCGGCCCTCAGCCTCCTTCCCGCGCCCGAGCCCCGAGGGCGGCGACACCTGACCCAGTCGCTCACTCCGTCCCTCCGGTCCCAGATACGGCTCCGCGGCGGGCTGAGGCAAACACTCCCCAACTCGCGCGCCTCAGCCTGGAGCCGCGGTAAGCGCGGGGACCCCGGCAGGGGTGAGGAGAGGGGTATGGAGAGGGGAGCGCCCTGGGCGGCTGCGACTCCGGGGTGGGGTCGGAATCGGGGAGGGCTGACGGGGGTGGCCCGTGGGAGTCCAGAGTGGTCCTGGGGTGAGGGTAACACAGTGGAAATCTGCCCGGGCCGCATGCCCACTCCTGTCTCTTCCTCGGGCACTCGGGCGTGCGGGCACTGAGAGGGGAGAGCAGGGCACGGAGCGGGCGGAGGACCTTGTGTTTGACCCGGGAGGGAGCGATGGACGCAGCGGAGCCTCGAGGCTGGAGCCTGCTGCCCGGCGGGGTTGGGTACCAGGAAGTGCTTGGGGACCTCTGCTACCCCGCGCGGCTCTGTCTTCCTCCTCCGCGGTGCGTTGGGGGAGGGGAAGCTAGGGGCTGTGCGCTGCGCGACCCCCAGCGAAGGACGGCGGTGTCGCGGCCGGGACTGGACGGCGGAGCGGCGGGGCGAGCGGAGGGCACAGGCAGGACAAGGACGCGCTGCGGCGAGCTGGAGGGCGGCGCGCGGACCCGGGGGGCGCGGTGTCGGGGTGTAGGAGGCGAGGCGCTACTACAGTAGATGCGGCGCTCGGGGACCGAGGGCCATCCGAAGTGGCCAGACAGGGTTCCCCAGTCGGAAAGTGCGAACTCATTGTCTTTATTTAGGGCTTATAAAGTTGGGTACACTGGACAGCGCTTCCTTGGGGTTAGGATCTCCTTTCTGTGAACTTGTACCTCGGGTTCTCAGCACCTTTTAGCATCTCGAGGGCAGGAGGTGGAGATCTCCCAGGAGAGTGAGGCAGAATAGCAGCCTGGTCTAGACATTCGCAGCAGGATGAGGGAATGTCACCAGGTGTTATCGGGAGAGTCACTTGTACTATGAGCCAGTGTGAGCGGTGGAGAGAGCTTTTTATTTCAGGAAAAGGCTTAGCAAAAACCACTGAACCCTAAATATTTTCTGTCTTTCACACTGTCATCTTCTAGCAAGGAGTTTTTCCAGATTAATGACAAGAATGTGTGGCAGTTTGGCCTGATGCCAAGTGTGCTCTTGTTTTTATTTTTGATAATTTTATCATGTTTCAAAAAAAAACCAAACCACAAAACCCTGTGCCCTCTGGGAACTCGCATGCCTAATTCCCTTATATTCCCCGGAGGGGAGGTGAGTACCAGTCACAGGAAGGTTAGAAAGTGCTTTTTAATTCATAATAATCAGAGTAATTATACTTTATCCTTAGGGATTAAAAAATTTTTTTTGCTCAAATTCTTTTATTGGTACATTTTAGGTATGCAATACATTTACATTTATCATTGGGTGCTTGTACCTGTACATGATGTATCTTGGTTCTTATTTTTTCCCCATTCCCTGTGAGCCCTTCACCCCCTCCATCCCTTCCTATTTACTCAGACTTTGTTTCCATTTTTTTCTTTTCTCCTAATTTTTCCTTTCCCTTCTTTCCTTTCCCCTTCCCCTACCCCTTTGGACCTTTTCTTCCTATTTCAAATTATCAATTATTCATTTTAATCGTTTTAACCCTTATTTACACTTTCAGTTTCTCACACTAGAGAAACTATTTGGTATTTACACATGTGTGTCCTACTTATTTCACTTTAGAGTATGGCCTCAATATGTATCCATTTAGCTATAAATGTCTCTAGTTTCTTGTTCTTTGTGGCTGAGTAGTACTCCATTTTATAAAAAAACACATCTTCTTTATCCAGTTCCCAGTTGATGGGCACTCGGGCTGTTTCCAAGCTTTAGCTGTTATGAACTGTGTAGCTATAAACTGGGTGCACATATATCGCTGTGGTATGATTCTTTTAGTTCTTTTGGGAAGATACCCAGCAGGGGAATAGCTGGGTCATGTGGGACCTTTAGTCCTAGTTCTTTGAGGTATCTCCACACTGATTTCCACAGTGGTCCCACCAGCCTGCACTCCCACCAACAATGGAGAAGGGTTCCTTTCTCCCCACAGCCCCTCCAGCATTTGTTATTGGTTGATTTCTTGATAGCAGCCATTCTTTCTGGGGTGAGGTGGAAACTCAGTGTTGTGGAATCTCAGAGGGATTTTAAATTTATTGAAAAGTCATAAACTTCAGTATATGGTAAGGAAGACAAGAACTTTGTGTTAATTGAATTAAATCTGAGCCTGTAGACAACTTTCTCCTTAAAAAAAAATTATCTCTTGATAGTTTGAGGTTTTGCTCTGTTCAGGAACTATTTGAGATTGTGGTAGAGAGAGATGCTCTAATATTGTTTTATTTACCTGCCAACAACAAGGTTAAATTGACATCTGTTTTGTGTCTTAGTGGTACAGATGTGCTTAAAAAGAAGCGAAACCTGGTGCCTTGAGATTTAATAAAAAGTCTGTTACTCTTCGGAGTTTGGGCATAATCAAGGAGACTTTTTTTTTTTTTTTTTTTTGTAAAAAATGAGATTTGAACTCATTTCTAAATCTAAAGGTTTTAGAACTTTATGTTTGTATTGATGCTTGGTGTATTTGTTGGAATAACTATACAGAATGGAGCATGTATATTCATAACAAATTTATTTTGTGTAAAATTTATTTTTTTGTGCAAAGACCCTGACCATTCATGTTTCTCATTTTAAACTGAAGTAGTTCAGGATACGCATGAAAAACTTACCTGCTCAATTACCATTTAGTATTGCTGAAAAACCCTTCTTCAGTCCTTAAACTCCTTTTCAAAATTACTTGTGTGCCTACTTGTTAAATAGTAACTGTTTTTGTTGTTGTTTACTGTTTAATTTGCACTAGATTTCAAGGTATACCTGAGAATTGCCAAGATACATCTGGGGACTGAAGTTTGGATTGTTTATGAATTGTTTGAGCTAATGCTTATTTACATAAGCACATTTGCTAGATAGTTCACCTCTCACACCAGAAATTACTATCAACTTTTAGAAACTTGGCTGTTAAAAAAAAAATTACTAAATCTTAGTCTGTTCTTGGAGGATATTTGGAGGTGTTATTTTTTGTTGTTGGATTGTCTTTATGAGGATGAATTCATAAAGAATTGAATGGTGCTATTTGTTGAGGTGTATAGGGTTGTTTTTGTTTGTAGTAAATGGTCTCAGACTTTTGGGTTGAAATACTAGAATAGAGACAGAAGTACCATTCTTTTTATGTTTTTTCTGGGTCCTCTTTCTGTTATCAGCTATCACTTTCTTCTGCTGTCTGGTTGTGAGTGGGCCTTGATGCTATGTTATCTGTTGTCTTTTTATTTTTCTTTCCATGAAATGATGTGGGCTGTTGTCTGACTGTAAAGCCTGTGTATTGTATGACAGATACTTTCTGTTCACATGCTATATGTCTGGGCTGGACTGTGAGCTAAGTAGTTGAGGTTCCCAGAAGGGTGGCCTTTATCTGAGGTCTTAATGTGTTTCACGAGAAGAGTGTCTTAATTTTAGACAGTTCAGTCTCTCAAAAGTCTTTGCCTTTCTGAGAAATTTAAGCAGCCCTTTTAAAAGTTTGCTTTTATTACAGCAGGCATAGAATGTTTTTCTTTAGGAATATATATGTATATGTGTACATATATACATACATAGATATATTTTGCATACCTCTTTCTGCCTTTGCAACTCATCAACCTTAAATATGTAATGTTAATATTTCCCTTCCTGGAAGCTAGGAAGAAGTGTAATTTGATAATCATGCTGACCATACTGGGGGCTAGGTCAAGTATTTAAATAGTATTTTACATACCTATCTATGGAGGACCAACATAATCCAATTAATTTGAATGAAGTAGTTTAATTTAGTCTTGAAAACAGTGGGAATCCTATCTTCTTAATCGAAAATGTTTTACCGACATTCATTCTTTTCTCCAACAGGTATTTATTAAAAGCATACTGTGTGCCAGACTTTGTGGTCTGGAGAAAAATTAACACCTTGGGAGGTTGAGGGGGCCGAGGGGGACACAGACAGAAAAAAAGTTGTTTCAGCAGTATAGGTTAGTGCTGTAAGTTTTGTTGAGCTGTGATAGCTACATGCCCAGAGTACCCTGAGTGGGAATTTGGAAGTGGCCAGTTATACATGGGAGCAGAAGACTCAGAAGCTGTGTAGAATGTGATACATGGGATAAATCAGCACAGGCAGAAGAAAGATGATGGACCAGAGTTTGTTATCCTGGGGTGTATAGATAATTATCTGTTCAGGATTGTTTTAAACAAAGGTTTTATTTGATGAGAAGTCAGCTGTCACGGCAGTTGATAAAGATGGATCTGAGAACTTTGAAACAGATAGGGCCACTTAGAAGGTATTGCAGTGACCATGGCAGGATGAAGAAAAGAGTTTGGTCACAAAAAAGATAGGCCAGGCTCAGTGGTGCATTCCTGTACCCCAGCTACCCAGATGGCTGAGGCAGGAGGATCCTAATTTTGAAGCAAGCTTGGAAAATAAGCAAGACCCTATCTCAAAAAATGGCTGGGGTATAGCTCAGTGGTAGAGTACTCCTGGATCTGATCCCCAGTCCTGCATAGAAAATCCAATTGAAGATGTGTTCAGTGAGTCATTGCACAGAAGTTCTGAGCAGAGAAGTCCTGGGCTAGACAGGTAGAGGAACAGATGGATGCTTGGGTGGACTTCTTTAGCAGTTTTCAGGGAATGGGTGATGGTGAGCAATGAGAGTTGAGCGGTTTTCAGGGTGGGTACCAAGAGGGCAGGAGATACCTGGGGAGATCTGAGACTTGGATAAAGAAATAGTGAGCAGCAAAGAGTGAGAAGGGGTGGGTAAGAGAGGCAAAAGGGAGAATTAGGGGAGAAAGATTTTTAGTAGCTGAAGGGAAAGAGCATTTTGAGAAGTGACAGGTCAAGTATGAAAATGAGTAGTATTCCACAGTCCTGATTCTTTGTGACCTTGGGCTATGATATTGTTCCTCAAAACACACACTTTCTATGAGCACTGCAGGAGATTGGCATGTGCAATACCTGGAAGGTTGCTGGTTCATGTTCATAAGTACAAAC